TGACGTCAACATTAAACGGCTTGGGATTCGTTTTAAAAACGACTCGTTTCAATGATTCAGAGTCAACTCTTTCTTTTGAGAGACAATAACATTATAGACGGTTCACTTTCAGATTTAAAGGGGTCATATGATACGATTTCTATTTTTCCTTTTCTCTAGTGTGTTATGTAGCTATTTGTGCATGTATAAGATCTGCAGAGTTACAAAGCTGAAAGTCTCCCACAAAAGGATTTAAAAGAGAATCTGAAATCTAAAAGAGGATCTAAAAGAGAAGGCTGATCCAGACCGCCCTTACCAAAAAGTAGTATACTGTTGTAGTATAAGTTGATTTTATTAAGTATACTTAAGTAAAGTTCAAGTATATTTTTAATATATTAATATTTAGTATTTAAGTATACTTTATGTAGTAAGTATACAAATATCAGTGTACTAGTAGTATACTTGTAAGTGTACTATTTCAATACTCCTTGGGACTAAATTGGCCCACTTTCTAGTATATAAAAGTATACTTTTAAATATACTTTAAGTATAAGAGTAGTAAACTTTGAGTACACAACTAGTTTACATCAATGTTGTTAGCTTGTACTGCAACTATACTAAAAGTGAGCTTATAGGTATACTGATAGTTTACTAATTAAATACTTGTAGTACACTTTGAAGTATAGTCTCAGTAAACTACTAGTTTAGTAATTTTATACTACAAGTATACTCATAAGTTTTCTTTAAGTGAACTTTATTGCTCCAAACCTGTTGCATCTCAAGACCACATGCTCTACTGACTCCTCTTCCTGACAACCCTCACACAGCCCAGTATCATGCCTCCCTATCAATTTAAGTGAAAAGTATAGCTCAAATATAATTAGACTTTTTAAAGTATAATTCAAATATACTTAAATGTAATTTTAAGTATATTTCTGAGAAGTACATAAAGCACATTTGCCCAAATGTTCACGCAAAGAAAGAAGGCGTGGTTTCAGGAACCGCAGTAGTGTTGATGAAGCCATGTCAGGGAGAAGCTGTGTGTTTCTGAGGGAAAGCAAAAGCACTTTAATATTTTTCATGCTTGTTTTGTAAACCCCCCCCCCCCACACACACACACACATCCTGACTGCATCCAATGGTTGAGCCAGCCTTGCTGTGTGGGCTGATTGAAATTCTAAAAACAAACAGAGTAATGATTTGATTTTAAAGGGATAGTTCACCCAAAAATGAAAATTCTGTCATTAATTACCCTCATGTCATTCCAAACCCGTAAGAACTTTGTTCATCTTCGGAACACAAACTACGATATTTTTGATGAAATTGTTTTGATGAACAATTCTTCTCCCCCGAGTCACCCTCTGTCTCCATTTTGGAGAGTATCACTATGCATGTGCATGCTTTCCTCTGCACATAAACAAGGCACAGCGCATGTGTGTTCTACGTCAGCAGCATCACGCACTAATAAAAATAAAACACACATTATAATGTAAATAAACATATTAGTATCAAACCATAATTTAGCATCTTTTTATTCTCACCGGGCTACACACGCATACGTTGTTTACGTGCAGATCAAAGCACGCGCATGCGTCGTGATACCTCCAAAGTGGCACCCTAGGGTAACTCGGGGGAGAAGAATTGTTAAATAAAGTCGTTATTTTTGTTTTCTTTGCGCACAAAAAGCTATTCTCATAGCTTCATAAAATTACGGTTGAACCACTGATGTCATATGGACCATTTTAACGATGTTCTTACTACGTTTCTGTGCCTTGATCGTGGTAGCAGCCTTGCTGTCTATGGGAGGGTCAGAAAGCTCCCAGATTTCATCAAAAATATCTTAATTTGTGTTCCAAAGATGAACGAAGGTCTTACTGGTTTGGAATGACATGAGGGTGAGTAATTAATGACACAATTTTCATTTTTGGGTGAACTATCCCTTTAATGTCATATCATTAATTTGTTTTTAATATAAATTTTTAAAAAAAGAAACATTTCTTTTCTATTGTCACAAAAAAACAAAACATAAATAAATAAAAAATACCTTGTCCGTTTTCCTTTTTGCACTCAAATCAAAAACTGAAATAAGAAGGACAAGAAGCACTCAAATTCAAGTTTTTTGGTTCAAAACAACCCAATAGCTGGGTTTGTCCCTTTTTAACCCAGCGCTGGGCTATATTTAACCCAGCATTTTTTAGAGTGTACAAGGATTGATCTTACTCATAGTTCCCTTTCAGTCGGTCACTCTCGACGTCACGTCGGATGACCGACGAAATTGGTATCTCGCTTAGAGAGACCAATCTACTTAGAGTGTAAACTAAACGAGCCAATGCACATTGGCATGCGA